TATTTTTCTATTTTTTTTAAATATTAATAAGATTGTCAAGAAGAAAGAGATTAATGTTTTGATTTTTTTTACTTGATACTAAAAAGGAGAAGAATCACTCTAAATTTTTATTATTTTTATTATGCAAAAAAGAGGGTACTATCTTGTACGATTTTTTAACTTGATAAATTGGTTTAATGGTGGGATAAATTGTCTAAAAATTAACTTTAGGGGATAAATTGATAATAAAGTTATAGTTTATGGGAGTAAAGTGATAATAATTTTGAAAGTTAAACATGTTGTATCACTTGAATTAATAAACTCCGTTAAATTTGACTGTTAGTTTTGAATTATAGCATTTTGATGAATTATAGCATTTTGAATCTAGTTTCTAACACCGTAAACCATTCTCAATTTGGACATGTGTAGAGTTAGATATGGTCTGATTTCAAAACTGGTAACTGGAAAATTTGCTGAACAGGTTGTGAAATCCAGCTATCTTCAAACTGTTGTATCTTGCTGTTCAAAAATCTGAATTTAGTTCTGCTTGTTGCATTTGAAACTTTACTAAAACTCTTGTTGTGTTATAAATTTTAGAGGCTGATTCAATTCCTGTGAATTTTGCCAAATTTTCAAACTTTGCTGAAAAACAAGAACTGGTTCTACCCTGTCTTCATGAAACAGTAACTTTGAGATGAAATTCGAATGGTTTCTAGTTGGAATCAGGGAAAGGTATCTTCTGGAAAGTTTTAGTACTTTGAATCTAGTTTCCAACGGTATAAAGTTTTTAATTTTTGGACATACGGAACTCGAGTTACGATTTTTTCAAGTAGTGCCGCTCTAAGCTGAAAATTTTCTGATTTCAAACAAAAACACCTTTTAAGAACTTTCCACCTTCCTTTGCAATTGTTGGACCGTTTCAAGTCTAATTTCATGATTATATACAAGGTCTCTTTGAACTTTAAAACCTCGGACGGCCTACTTCTAATCTCTTACCTTGATTTTTCCACTTCCTTGAACTTTTCTCGCTAATGTATCTCCCCTTTCCTCAAAATTTTACATTTTTAACAAGTTACCTTAATTAAAGCGGTCAAGACTTGTACTTGGCTTTTACCCACCATTTTCAAATTTCCAAGTGAAGCTTACTTGCTAGACTTGTCCATATATTGGCCTTGATAGTTGTACTATAGTTGGCAATCATACAAGCATTTTAAAAGAATGATTTGAAAGGTTTCTTGTGAACTTAATTAGTAATACTCGGAATGCTTTGGCAAGCTTCCAAGTAAAAATGTATTCATCTTCCTTATTTGAAAACCAAAGTTTTATCGCCATAGTCTCCTAAGTTTACACCCTTGATTTAACCATTCAAAATGAATGTTAAGTGAGTCCTTTACTAAAATAAAACTTGAGAAATTTCACTCGATTTCTGTTTACAACTTGAAGTGGTAGCTAAAGAAGTTAATGAGCCGTTAGTGGCAGTTTTACTAGACTTTAACTAAATGAGTTTGGAAAATGTGAAAGCTCACTTATACTTGAAACTTGGGCCTTTAACTAGGGAATTTTGACAAGAAAATAATCTTCCATCTTTCTCGATTTTCATGCCAAAACTTAGAGATCTGCTTAATCCTCAAATTTGAGAATCTTGGACTTGACTTGACTTGAATTAATGCATTCTTAGAAAATTTCAAATACTACCCTCGTGAATTAAGTTAGTAAGTGATATTTGCATTCGATCTAAACGTGTTATCTCTTGAGTGAGGGTAGCAGGAATACTATTAGACATTGGTTGAATACCTAGGTGATTTGTAATTGTGCGTGTCTCAGGTGATCAAGAGGATCCCGAGGAGCTCGTTTGATCTTCCTTGCTCTTGCTTTACACTCTTGATTTCGGTGAGTGTCAAGTGCATGAATCGTTGCTAATTACTTGAACTGCTTCTTGTTAATTAACTGATTTAGAATTATCGAGACGAGTGTGTACTTTATCGCACTCGTTCTCTTTTAAGTGAAGTTATAATTGTATTGTGTGAAGTGAAGTGATAATTGAATTGAGTGAACTGTTGAATTATTTCTTTAAAGGTCTTGTATGCAGTAAACATTTGTATATACTTCATTTTGGGAAAAATCCTGCAAACTCTGAACAAAGAAAATCCATTGCTTGAATAAAACGAAATGTAGCAGCAGAAAATTAAATGCAAACAGATAAACTCAAATCTTCTGAAAATAATATGTGGTAGAAGGTTATCTTTCAAATCTTCTGAGAATTCATACTTCAAAATTTTCAAATAAATCAATATAGAAAATTCATCTAGCAACCCTAAAGTCCACCAAGCTCCATACATATAGTAGGACCGAAACCACATATAAAGTTCTTCATATACCATTAGGGTTATTATCACTTTACCCCCTTAATGTTTGGTGTTACTATTAATTTCCCCCATAATAAAAATTTTCTACATTACAAGTATATGTAGGAATATACATTTTGAAAAGGGCAAAAAATTTGGATGGCCTTCAAACTATTAATTTGGTCGACTTTTAGTCCTTCAACTATTAAGTGCATATTTTTGCCCCTCCAATTTATAAAAGAGTATGTTCCTCACCCTTTTTGCTGGAGATAATTTTAGAAACCTCCTCATAAAGTTTCAAAAATAATCACTTACCTCTCCTAAAACCATACCTTTTGTAACAATCTCACTATTGTATTATTAAAATATTCTTACAATAATTATTTAACGAGAGAGATATATTTTTCTCTCAATTCTACCCTTCTTTATTGTCTTATATTAAATTTTCTATCAAATCAATTAGTATAATAAAAGATTTACATCTAAAATTTTTCTCTTCCATAATGTTTTGTTTGAAAATTATTAAGTAGGGAAGATAATTTTATCAATTCATGTACTGTAAAAGTGTTTAATGGTGCCACCTCATTGATATGGATGTCAAGTGAAATTTCTAAAGTTTTAAATGTGTCAAGTGATATTATCATAAATCTTAAGGGAGGTTTTTGAAATTTTTTCTAGTCAAAAGGATTAAATAATATGCTATTTTACAAGTTCAAAGAGCAAAAGTATGCATTTAATAGTTAGAGGGTTTGTAGTCGACCAACTATATAGTTTGAGGGCCATTCAGATTTTTTGCCCAAAAAACTTTTGAAACTAACCATCTTTTTGTTTCTTTGTCTTTTGCCTATGAAATTCCTATTGGTTCATAATCAAAAGTTACTCCCTCCGTCCCACTTTGATAGTCCTGTTTTCCTTTTTCATCTGTCCCAAATTATGGTGCACTTTCCAATTGAAGAATGTAGTTGTATTTTAATTTTCCTAGAATACCCTTATTCAATGTAAGTTGTTGTTACTATAAACCTACCCCATTTAATGAGAGTTGATTCTTTTTTACCATCTATTTAAATTCCCATAAAGTTGTACTCTAATTAATGTGAGGGTATTTTAGAAAAATAGTTATCTAAATTAATTGTTCCAACAAAGTTAATTACTTTTTCTTAAACTGTGTGAAAAAAAATCAGAACTATCAAAGTGGGACGGATGGAGCATTATGTTTCGCCCTAAAAGAGATTCAATTGACCCAAAACCCGATTTATAAAAATGCTTTTCAATGCACTATGATATGTGAACATCTCAAAGGTCATAAAGAGGTCACTGAATTCACCTCCAGTTTAGTTGGAGAAGCCTTTAATGCCCAACTGTTGTGGAAACTTTCTCATGCCAATGCAGTCACATCGTACATGCCAATGCAATCACATCGTACAGGCACATACTTCCGCCTCTTTCTTCCCTTTTGGAAAAGGAAAAATAAGTACAGTACAAATTTAATTCTTGTTTTATTGTCTGGCTATTTTCGATTCACTCTGTACTTTTTTTTTTAATGTTGCCATTGAAAGTTAGTTTGTGCAATCAGGTTTTTTGCACTAGTTTTGCTAAACAATTTAGAATAATCAACAATATGACGAATCCAAAATAAATTAATAGGTTCGTTTCTTATAGGGAAAAAATGTGGACGACAAATAATCAAAATGTGCTTGATTAATGTAGCAAACCATATTTTGGGTTGCATTGTTAATTATACTATTACAAAAAATTACTAGAGCTACTCTGCCAATGAAATAGCCAGAAAATTCTAGATACTTTTCTTTTCTTTTTCAAATCCGACATCCCTTCTTACCTGGCGATTTAAACATTAATATCATCGAAGGCACTGTCCTTAAATGACTCTCGAAAAGCGTGACACATATCACATGTATTTCATGATAGTTTATTCAAGAAAAATTAAAGGGAAAATTTGGTGAAATGGTAAAAGGGAGAATCTAGATATATAAGCATGATCGGGCACAAATTTGACATAATATGTCTAATACATTTTTTTAAGAAAAAATTTGGGTAGATTGAGTTCTAGTCATCACCACAAGTGAGGACATACTTTCAAAATCACAAGTCATTTATCAGAGTTATTATGAATTGTCCATCAACACGGCTCTCACGTTTACAATGGGATTCGAACATATGACATTTTATGAGAACAAGTAATCCGTTTTTACTGATTGATCCAACTTATGTTAGCATGTAATATATCCTTTTTCCAACATAGAAAAGCTTAAAAATCAACAGACAACATAAAAGGTGGGACAGCATGGTGCGCTAGACAATCAATCAAACCGGTTGGAAGAAACATTAGATACTGGTAGTTGTAAGGTACTACAATTAATTATCCTCCAAACTGCCTCATTACTAATTTAATCAATTCTGTGGCATCCAGAAATGGACCCCTTTCTTTCATTGATTCAACAATATTCTTTATTTGGATTGACCAATGGCCAACGAATAACTAAGCTTGTGAATTAGATATCCGTCCTTTTCCTCTCAAAGTCTGTGTTCACATGACTATCTGAAAATTGATCACTAGCAATTAAAGCCCCAAAACTTAGTTCAATTCTTTTTTTTTTTTTAACTTAGTTCAATTCATTGCTTAAAGTTCCTTGCTTAAAACCCTTATATATATCCATCAAAACCTTACTTTCATAGCCAGAAAAATCAAGTGGATAAAAGATGGCAGGTATTTGGGTTTCATGGCTATTTGTGATTCATTTCTTGATTGTTCAAACTAGTGCAAAAATTCCGGCCATTATAGTCTTTGGAGACTCATCTGTTGATTCTGGAAACAACAATCAAATCCCAACAGTTGCTAGGAGTAATTTTGAGCCTTATGGTCGAGATTTTTCCGGTGGCCAGCCAACAGGACGTTTTTCGAATGGTAAAATTCCGACTGATTTCATATCTGAGGCCTTTGGTCTAAGGCCTATTGTTCCTGCATATTTGGATCCCAAATACAGCATATCAGACTTTGCAATTGGGGTCAGTTTTGCTTCGGCAGCAACTGGGTATGACAATCTCACATCTGATGTCCTAGTAAGTCCCTTTGTTTATTAAAAGTTCTCATTTATACATATACAACAGAAAAATCAACTAATTTTATTATATATATATATATATATTTCACTCTCTTTTGCTTTTTGGTAGGTAAAACTTATTCAAATCTTAGACTTTCAAAGAACTTAGTGAGCCTTTTCCGTGTCTCTAAAATGTTTACATAAGCTAAATTTAGTTTACAAAGAAAACCACAAGAATATCAATTAAATCATTAACAGATTTTTGAGATAAATGATTTGATGACAAAATATGTTGACGATATTAGGTTTCTTGATTTTCCATCAACAATCAAAATTTACAGCTTTTCTAAGAACCCTACAAGCAACAAGAATATTTGACATATTAAAAAAAATCTGAAATTTTCAAAATCATTTCTCAGTAATCAGCTTTTGCAAAATTTACAAGAAGCGAGAATAGCACGAATATTACAAAACTGAAAAACAAAATAAGAAGTGACATTTAAACGTTTTTTGGATACCAATTGCAGGGTGTAATACCATTTTGGAAAGAATTGGAGTACTACAAAGAGTACCAAAAGAGACTAAAGGCCTACCTCAGTGAACAAAAGGCCAATTACACAATTAGTGAGGCGTTATATGTTATCAGCATTGGAACAAATGACTTTCTTGAGAATTACTATGCACTTCCAGATAGGAGATCTCAATACACAATAGATCAATATCAAAATTTCTTGGCTGGGATTGCCCAAAACTTCGTAACCAACCTTTACCATCTTGGAGCAAGAAAGATTTCTCTTGGAGGGATTCCTCCAATGGGATGTATGCCATTGGAAAGAACAACAAATATACCAAATGGAGAAGGGTGTGTGCAGAGTTATAATAATGTGGCAGTTAGTTTCAACGCAAAATTGAACGGATTGGTGTCAAATCTGAACAAGCAATTGCCAGGGATTCAATTGGTTTTCTCCAATCCTTACTACGCTATGCTAAATATCATTAGCAAACCTTCCGCTTATGGTAAGATTAACTATGCATTTTACTTATTAAAAACTTCATTACTGTATTTTCTGATTTCTTTTGTAAGATTAAATTGTGAAGTGTTATTAGAATAGTAGTCTACATTTATCTATTTTTTGAAGAAAAGTCTTAAGTTTCTAACACATATTTACTTTTGAAAATTCTAGGACATTTTATTTCATGTGATAATGAGTTTAGATCCACTTATATTTTGTATGAAAGATTAATGCTCGTTTTCTTTAAATTCCAGCTGATACTAGATAAGTTTTCACATAAAATTGTCTGACTCGTAACTAATTATGAGTATATATATTTAGGCTAACGGTCAAAGGAACATTAGCCTTGTGCCAAAAAGTACTAATTGGAGGATCAAGTCAGACTAACAAGGACCGTAGTCCGCTTAAACAATTGATGTAGGATGTGTCTTGCAACAGAAAATCTATCCCGGTGAAGGAATTTTTTACGTTTTTCTTTTTTCTAGTAATGGAGGTCTATATTGTATCCTAAACTGAACACAACACAATCCATAGACGGACCTAAAAATTTTGCAATGAGGAATATTAGCATATTTAAATCTAAATATATAACGTAAAATTTTGTTAGGGTTAAAGTTTAAATTTCTAAAGTGAATTTTTAAAATTTTCAATTTTTATAGTAGCAAAATTGGATTTTCTAAAACTTGGGAGCGGGGAAGGGGCTGCCCTTACCCTCGGTCCGCCCCCGTACAAACCAGGTTATGTTGCTCAACAGTTGACAGATATAATTGCTGGAGATAAATTATGGTTGAGATCATCTCATTTGAATTTTGTATTGTAACGATTAAAATTTGGAAGAATGAATAGTGTGAGATTACACGGTTCTCTGTGCAAGCCGGAAAACGGTACTAAATCAAGGCAAATTTTGAATACTACAAACGATCTTAAAATAAGATGGTCAAAATTAGCTATGTATTAGTGTCCTTGTGTGTTGTACTAGTGTACAGTTTTTCTTCTTCTTCTTCTTCTTTTTCTTTCTCTTTTACCCTCCTACCTCTCTCATCTCCATACCCTTTCTACCCCCAACTGTCAGGTATAGAATTTAAACTCTGAATTTGATATCGAGAAAATTTCTAAAAACCTTTCCTTGATCATTGAACTAATCCCAGTGATTTGTTATATTAGTTTATTTATTTATAGTTTTGCATTTGGGAGTCTTAACTACTGAGCAACCGAATTGAGCTACAAACTTTGTTAATATTTCTTAAATAAACCAATAATGCTTTTTTGGGTCAAGTACCTCTTCAATCTATTTTCAACACATTAAATGCCAATTTTTTCTTCTTATTGGCAATTTAGTTATCAAATGTAGCTTAGGTTTTATTATAGTTTGACCAAGTCAATGATCTCTACTTAATTGTTAAATTACAATATTTCTAAAATATTATTTTCTTATTAAATTTGTAGGTTTCGAAGTCGCTTCGGTGGCATGCTGCGCGACAGGAATGTTTGAGATGGGCTATGCATGTGACAGATACAATCCATTCACTTGTACGGATGCAAACAAATATGTGTTTTGGGACTCATTCCATCCGACTGAAAAAACAAATCGTATAGTCTCTGAGAGTGTAGTTAAGAAAGTCTTAAGCAAATTTATGTGAAGTGTGTCTTTGGCAATTATCCATAAATAGTGTGACTAAAATATTATGTACGAAAATAAGATGAGCTTTTCTTTTGTACTTAAATACTGTCTATTCGTTTGAATCCTATGCGTGAGAAAACACGAATGTTAAACTTAGGGCACAATTATTTAATGTACGTCATTAACTAATGAAAGCGTATCAGTTTTAATTAGAGTCTTTCTAACGAGTGTTCAATGGGCATTTGTCAACACATCTCAATTCCACTTAACATATCATGTACACACACACTAACAATTATTACCTTATTTTATTTATATACCTTTCCTAATTAATCTTATCATTTTAAAAATCTAACACCTAAAGTACACCTTAACGAGTGTTCAATGAAAATCCATTAGACAGATTTGTCTAATTATATGTCAGCACGTAAGGAAGGTGGATCATTCATGTATAGTGTCTACCAGACAAGGAGAAGCCACCTTAATTATATGTGGTAAGATATGATTGATATTGGGTCACCTCGTGGTAGTTTTTGTATACCTTGACCATGCGATATCTTTCTTGAAATATAATGGATTAGTTAGGTTTTTGACAAGCGCGGAGTATACATATAGTAATTAAACTCATTCCACAATCAAGTTTTACATTTATAAATTCTTAAATACTCCACACGTGATTTTTCACAAGTATATAAGCCGTAATTGAGTATAGGGTATTAAGGATTGAACCCACAGAGAAGATTATCAATTAACGATGTTTTTCGAACTCCTTTATTATTTAGACTATCATAAGTGCAAGAAATTAAATATATACTACAAACATGAGGTAAAAGTAATAAAAATAATAATAGAAAACTCCTAGAGGTATGGAATTCCTCACTTCTCTTACAAATGAAATTATCTGTTAAGTGAATGCTATTATCTTGGCTAGTTATGGTGTAATTTTCTAATGTATGTGAAACCTACTCTCATAGTGAATCAACTATACTTATAACTAAACCATACCTACTCTCGTGGTTATGAAATTATTTACAAGCTTATTTCTTTTATGAAATTATACGAAACAAGTCACTAAAGCCACAAAGGTGCTCCTCTACTATAGTGAGTGAACTCCCTAGATTTATCACTTCCTTGTACTAGTGTTAACTTCCAATTCTCATTGCAAACATAACATCTTAAGATTATCACAATTGATGCCCGGTTAATCATAATTAGAAAAGCAAAAGTGCTAAATAACTTATTCAAAATAATATCATCAAATAACAAGATAAACATCACGAACAAGATATAAAAAGTTCATCCATAACTCTAGGCATAAACTTTAGTAAAACATGACAAAGATGAAAACAAGGTTCAAACTTTTATTATAACTAAATATAAAATCAAATACAAGAGAGAAAGTAGTGGAAGAGATATCACCCTTGTTACATGAGATCAAACTCTCCATCTTGCTCCTTAATCTTCATTCAAGTTTAGCTACAAGTATAAGAAGGATGAACTACTCTAACTATACTATACTAATCTAAATAAGTTAATGAACTAAAGAAATTCTAGTGAAAGTCTACATTTTTGTGTAGTTCTCTAGCCTTGCAAAGTTATGAAAATGTTATCCAAGGTCTTTATTTATAGAGAATTCAAGCAACAAATGAGTTGTTTTTAGTTGGCAAATTTGACTCTTGAAATCTCCAAAGGTTGTTTCTCCAAGTTTCCACACTCTTCTTGAGTAGATACAACCAAAATTACTTGCTGGAATTGAGCTGGAAAGTTGTGTGAAAGTAGGGCAAGTTGATGAGCAAGTTGCAGCTGCATTTGAAGAATACGTGACCTCAGAAAATGTGGGCTAAGGTCGCATATCAAGGTCACATTTTGCCTATTGCAGGTTTGCTCAATTCTGGTCAATCTTCATCCTTGCTTTGTTTTTGCACCAAATTCAACTGATATTTTCTAGATGATGAAGGTTGAACTAACTCTTGTGAAAAACATGAAAGTTGTATCCTTTTGAGTTAGCTTTCCAATTCCTCGAGAATCATCCAATTTGAAGCTCTATATACTGATAAATGACCAAAATATTCTTGACTGGTCAATCCCTTGTTTCAGCTTTCGACAACAGAAATGGCCACCTGTATTTCAACTTTTTGACTAGGAAAAATCATGAACTGGATTTCAATGTCTCTATAAGAAATTTAGAGCTATGTGTTAGCTTCAAAATGGCTCAAGAGTCACCTCAATCAGATATGTGTATCTCAAAATATAGCCGAAATACCAACAGGTGTCAAAGCTGGAAAACTCCCTTTCTTTATTCTTGATTACATTTCCTTTTTTTGCACTTCATGTTCTTTTTAAAACCTTTCAAATCATCAAAAATCATCCAATTATCTTCTCAACTCACTCCATTTAATGATTGAATCATTAAACCTACTAAACATGAAGTTTTTACCATTTTAATCCATAGAAACGCAATTGCTCACACTTAAACCATAAAATGCATATTTTCATTAGAAACCTAGTTAATTAGTTATAAAAAATAAATAAAACACACCAAAAATAGATGATAAAACACACTTAAAATACTCAAAATACACACTTATCAGTTTTCCTCTTATTTTGGCTAACTTCACTTGCATTCATTCTCACAAACTTGTACTTGGAAGGATGTAAGCCAGGGGACACAACCCGGGGGGCAACCTTCCCAGAATAATTCACATATCATAAAAGTGATCTTTTTAACTCCTCTACATTAACCCTAGTTTCCTAAGTGAGGATATGATATCAACCCTAGTCTCCTAAACAAAATAAAATATCAATTAAAACAAAAGTATATAAAAGGAAAATAAGATCAAGGTAAAAAAAAAAAGTCAAAACATGATTGTTCCTACTCCAATTCTTCTATTATATTTTAAATCTTTAATTATTAGTTATTTAAATAATTATTCTTCTACCAAATTGATTATTCATGTTAACATCTAACTTCGATGAATTGTGGTACATTTGATTTTCTGTAATATGTTACTTTTACTTCTACTTTCGTACAGATTAAGAACGATAGCTAATGTAATCATTTTTGCTTAGTACTTTCCTTCTATGCCCTTCCCTTAATACTTGTTTCAGTGCTGCATTTATTATTTCTAGTAGAATGATTGACTATAGAAGGGTTAAATACACTAAACCCCCTTGAGCTTTACTTTTAGCTACGCTTTTGCCCCTAAACTCATTAAATAAACACCTTGCCCCCTATTTTATATTTCAAGACAAAATGCCCTTACAATTTTATTCTGTTTCTTTTTTGTTTATTCATTCCCTTAGTTTTCTTTTCCATTACCTTCTTTTATTTCTATTTTTTTCTTTTCTACTTTTTTACTTCTCTCATGTCACTATTTTCTTTCACTTTCCTATTAGTATTACTAATTGTATGCTTATTATAATATTGTAATTATCTTTTACTTATAATTGGATTCTTGTTTTATTTATTTACACTATTGGAAAATTGAAGACAAATTGTATTGTGTAAAAAATGAATATAAGCCTGTCATAATCAAAAAGTTTAATTACTAGCAATTTGACTATTTAAAAAATATTAACAAACTTGATATTTAAAAGTATACCCCAAAAAAAAGTAACTAACATTTTTATTTACTGTTTTTGTATATATAAGATTAACCATTATGTTATTACAATATCAACTTATTGCTATTATTAAAAATTATTTTATTCTAAACTCTAGACATATTGATTTAAACAATATATAAAATAATCAATGTTTATAGATAACATCTACTTTATTAGAGTACAAATTTTATGATCATTATCACTTCCAATAACAAAAGGTAAAAAAGATAGACATAAATAAAGAATAAGTTTAACAAGATTAAAATTAATATATAGATAATAATAACAAATAGAAGAAAGCAGATAATTACATGAGAGAAGGGAGAAAATTAAAAAATATGAAGGAAAGTGACAAGTAGAAAAAGGGCAAAAAAGGAGAAAAAATAAATAAAATAACAATTAATGTGGAAGGGCACTTTTGTCCAAAAACATAAAATAGCTAGCAAAGTGCCTATTTATTAAGCTGAGAGAAGTAAAGTGCAACTAAGGGTAAAGTTTAGGAGCTTTAATGTTTTTAATTTGCTAATTAAGTTGCACATTAATTATGGACATAGTAGCAAATCCATACACTAACTATAGACCTATAACTTGGAACAAATAGAACTTTTGCCTCTCTCTATCACCTGTTATCCCTGCATTCCCTCTACTCTCAACTTTTTCTCTACCATTCTTCTTTCATAGGAGAGAGATCTTGGCCTCAAATCAGAGTCTCCCTTCCGCTTCCTCTATTTTTATTTTATGTTGAATAAATTCTCTCATAAGATATTCTAGTGAGAGTTTTCTCTCTCCTAGTGTTTACTAGTGAGAGCTTTCTTCTCGCCTAAGCTATCCTAGTGAAAGTTTTGTTTAGTTTGCTATTTCTTTATTAGATCTAAGGATTTTTCAGATCTATATATTAGACCTGAAATTTTTTTTATTTTTCTTGTCAGATGTCAACATCAGTTTTGAAATTGAACCAATTGGTTGGCACATTTGAGGAAATAAACATGCACAGATAGTTATGGAGCAATTCCTGCAATTAGTCAAATTTGATAGTTTGTGATTCACAGTGTAATTATTTATATTTTCTGGCTTTATTAAATCTAATGATTTTTCATACCAGATATATCTGTGACATTTTCTATGTATTTCTTTGTCAAGCAAATAGTGCTAGATGTTTTCTAACTAGTTTATTAATAATATTGACTTTTGTTTTATCTAAAAATAATTTGAAACAAACTAAAAAGGAAAGTGGGTCTATGATAGGTTGCATTTTCGTTATCAATTTTATGATTGTTTCCCCCTTTTATTTTACAAAATGTTGAGTTAATTGATAGATTTTATTTATTTTTGATAATTGGTGTTGGTTGTAGGGATTCGGAATGGAAAGGAGTTAAGAACATGGTTTTAACTAGACTTCTATGCAATTCAGCGTTGGCGTGTCAAGATCTACTTTGCATGTCCGGAGACTCAGGATTTAGCGCGTGATTTTCAAAGTTGGATTGGAGCCATGGTAGACTCTTTACCAACTGAATCATTTCTTATTCTTACTAGGAGACTAATCCACTCTATCTATTAGGAGTTTGCTTTGTTTTAGGAAAA